TCAGCAGAAGATGCCAATCCTGTCTGTTTCACCCCTTCACTGGCAGAGTCAGCTGCACGTGTCAGGAAAAAATTTCTCCTACGAAGCCAAAACGTTCTCACTGCATTAACAGTGGGGAGGCCACAGTCCCTGACCTGGCCACAGAGACTGGCCTAAGAGCCAGCGCGACCCTCGAAGGTCTCTGATCCTTCCTTCTGGCTTTGGGGTTTAGGAACCAGGGTGCTTCACGGCTCTATCACGTGCCCTCTACGGTCACGTCCCAGGGACCTCATCCAACCTGTGGCATAGTGTTTATGTTGACGATGCTCACAACTGTGCCTCCAGACCTCTCTTCTGAACTGCAGATTCTAACCTCCAGTTGCCTTCTTGATTCGATATCCAAAAAGCGTCTCAAACTGAAGGTGCCCAGAGCTCAGCTCACGACCAGCTCCCGTCCTCCAACTCCCTAAGCCACCCTTCCCACCATCGTCCCCGTCCTTTCCGTTCCCTCAAACCTCAGTCACTCCGCGCTCTATCCCCCTCATGCAAATCGACAGTTCCCACTAGATTTGCCTCTGAAACACACCCAGACCCTAACCATTGCCGCCACCTGGATGAAAGCGGAAGGGCTGCCTTCCTTCTGGAGGCTTCAGGGGCTCCTGCAGCTTCCGGAGGCTGCCCACAGCCCTCAGCTCACGGCCCCTTCCACACCCGACTCCAGCCTCGTGATTCCGTCATCACACCCGCTGCTGTCCCTGGCCCTCTCGCCTCCCTCTTCCGAGGGCCCCTCACCATTACACCGGGCTCACCTGGGGAACCCAGGATAATCTCCCCACCTCAAGATGCGCCCTTGTGTTGGCAAAGTCCCTTTACCATGCAAACTAGCCTGTTCCCAGATTCCAGTGATGGAGGGGGGGAAGGCATCATTCGGCCTTTACCAGAGCGTCTCACTCGGTGCCCTTACAGTCCCAGGTCGTCGGGTCCCCACTTCCTGCCTAAGCCCCCCTCTTCCACCTCTCCCCGTCACTCACTCAGCTCCAGCCACACTAGTCTTGGCGCTGTTCCTCAACACACAAGCCCATCTCAGGACTTCTGCACCGGCCTTTCCCTCTACCCGGAAAGGTCCCTCCCTGCCTTAGGTCTCTGGCTAAATGACACCAACTTACGACGGGGCTTTCTTTACCGACACCCAATAATAGAGTAACGCCCCCCCCTCCCATTTAAACACTCTCTTCCATTCTTATTTTTTCCCCAGGGCATTTAACATTATCTCTTATGCTTTCTATCTATCCATCCATCCGTCCGTCCATCCTCCCTCCCCCACTAAAATGTCATAAGGGGTGTTTTGTCTCTTGTTGTATAACCCCCCGAAATAAAACATGAAGTAGGGACTCAGTAAACAGTGGCTGGATAAGTGAATTCTACGTTACTGGGAAAGTTTGTTTCCTTGGAAACAAAACCTGGCGTAAAGTAGGAACTTAATTACATTTGAACAAATGAGGAAATGGATGGGTAAATGACAGACCCACATTATATCTAATTTTCTACAGGTATACCGATTAACATAAAATCAAGTGATTTACTGTTTAGGAACCGGACGTAACAGTTAAAGTAACTTATTCAAGGATGTACAATGAAAAAAAGTAATACAATTACGTATTAAAACTCCAACCCAGCCCCTGACTTTATTTTTCAGTGTCCCTGAATGTTCTTAGACCTGACAAGTCAGAATTCATCCAGATTCCCTTGCTTGCTTCAAACCTTACCAACAAGGTTTCAAGTTAATAAACTCCAAATTTACTTTCAGAGGAAATTCCACAGAAGTCTCAAAAGCATTTGCCTTGTTTATTCAGATATATAAAAAGTGAACATACAGGGGAGAGAGCGTCATCCACCCTTTAAAACACATCCAGAAGCGACCCTGCTGTAGGGACAGATTATAAGAAGCTTCAAGTCCACAGTCCCTAGCACTGCTCGGCCGCCAGCCAGGGCAGCTCCAGACGACCACCTTGGGTACCAGGTACACCGACAAATGAAGACATTCCTACGGCAGTTGGGTGGTTACCGGGGGAAAGAACCAGAGCAACAATGCAGCTGGCTTGGAACGGAAGAGCAGAACAGCAACTCCTTCCGCAGAGGTCACCTCCTCTGCACTGGGCCAAGGGTTATTCTGGCCTTGCTGCCCACGCATCTGCACAGCCAGCCATACAAGCTGCCACACTGAATCTCCTCTCCTTCTGCCAGCATCTGGGGAAGTGAGCAGGTGTGCTCCGTTCACACTTGGAATCTGCTTTCTAGGAATCCTCTCACTGGCACACAGATGGGAAGGAGTGAGCCACAGTGGTTAGGAACACGGACCTGCAAAAGGGGCTGTCAGGATGCAAGTCTTGCCTCCGTGACTCACTGTGTCCCTATGGACACGTCACCAACCCTTTCTAAGCCTTAGTTTCCTCACCTCTAAAAAGCCCACTTACTGTTCTTAGGACACTTACTGGAGACAATGCAGGAAAAGCACTTAACACAGTGCCCTGGCACACGAGGCCTTAATACATATTCCTATAATAGCTATTATTATGGTACTATCTATTATAGTATTTTTGACTTAAAAAAAAGATCACTGTTCAAAAATAATACACCTGTCTTCATCTTAGATAGGGGTTTACCATTTATTTCCAGCTAAGTGTTTGCCTGCAGTTTGGGAAGAGTGCCACCAGGCAGATGCTGAGACGAAGCTTTTCCAGGTAAAGCTAGCAAAAATAAACTCACTTAAAGACTTTCTCCTCAATTCTAGTCCTGAATTAAAAATATATATAATTTGGCCTTGGAGAGCATAACAGAAATGTTAGAGAAATGTGACTACGTGCAGTACGTAAATAGGAAGACCAATGTGAAATTTAAAAATAGAAAGGTACACAGGTATGTGGAGGTTCAACTAGGTATTTTTCTACCAAATTATTAGCGGATAGAAATCACTGATTAATCCAATGCCCTACACCGCCTCACTGTTTGAAAAATGAAATAAAACAAAACGCACATTTTTTTTTCATTTCTCCTCGTCACACTAATCAAGGACGCATGTCAGAAGCGCTAAGTGAATTTTATCAAATTACACAAGAATTGGTCTCACACGTGGAGATCTGACTCAGTACATTGGGGAGGGAGCAGGTATCTATATTCTGCAAAAGCTCCCCAGGAATTACTAGTGCCAACACCTATGGTTGGCCAATCACTGCCTAGAATCTCTCTTTTGGCAAGAAGAGAGATTTGCCATCGTAAACCTCTTCTCTTGATCCCATAGCCTGCTCCTTAAGCAGGACTGGATGACCCATAACTCAGTGAAGAGACGGACGGTACTGAGTTACTCTGCAGCCCTTAAAATCAGTACAAATTCAAGACCTTTTACAGCAACAAAGGAGCTACAGAAGATGGGGATGCAGGGATGAAACTCTGTGTTTGTTCCGTGGAACCGGGTGAATGCTTTCCCTTTTAGACTAATGCAGCTCAGCAGAGCTTTCTGTCCCACGGAAACGTTCTATATCTGCATTTTCCTGTAAGGAAGCCACAAGCCACGTGTGGCTACTGAACCCTTGACGTGTGACTCACAGCTTCCAAACCGGACAGCCCAGCTCTGGACAGCAGCCAAACTCAGCCCACTTGTAGCCTTCCCAGCACCTTGCTATCTGAGTCCCTGTTTCATGAACTCACTCAGTACTTACCCCTTGAGAAGTTAGCTCATTCCTAGCACGTGGGAGGTGCTGGGGACACAGCAGGGAACACAGATAAACCCCCTCTCTCATGGAGCTCACAACCTGGTTTACAATAACTGCCCTCTTTAAGAGCACCAGACTCATTTGAGGTACTTCCTCAAAGAAGGTTGGGTCAAATGTGTTTTGAAAAGTTGTGTTATTTTGCAGATATAGAGAATAGACTTGTGGTTACCAAGGGGAGGGCGGGGAAGGAATGGGAGTGTGGGATTAGTAGCTGCAAACTAGTATCTATAGGACGGATAAACAACAAGGTCCTACCGTAGAGCACAGGGAACTATATTCACTATTCTGTGACAAACCATAATGTAAAAGAATATGAAAAAGAAGATATCTGTCTATCTATCTATCTATCTATCTATCTATCTGTATATGTGTATAACGGAGTCACTTTGCTGTATAGCAGAAATTAACACAATATTGTAAATCAACTCTACTTCAATAAAAGTTAATAAATAAATAAATAAAATTGTTTTATTTTGGAGCAAAAAAGCAAACAGTCATAGTCTGAGAAGCAATACAGTTCCATGTACTGAAGAAATGGGAGGATACCCAGAGTCTCCACGAGAAAAGAGAGGAGAACTCGTGAAACTTTTCCAGAAGGGCGGCCTAACCTCAGTAACAGAATAACTGGTTTGGACGTTATTTCCAAGGAAGGCCACAAGGTCACCCAGAGCCATGTGAAGGACCAGAGTACGAAGATTCAGGGGCCGTGGCGGTAGGCCCGAGGAGCTCCCAGCTAGAACGACATTTAGCCAATCCCACTGGAGATGGCGTCAGGAGAGAACCCAATTCATGACTGCAAATGGTATCTTTAAGCAGCTGTCATAAACACTTTCACTATTTGGTAAAAGTTTTCAAGGGATTAAAATAAAAAATTAACAGATCCCCCCCCCCAAAAATAAGAGTGATGGTTAGATTTTTTTTTTTTTTTAAAAAGCCATCATCGCCACTGGTAAAGGAGGAGCCCTGGGTAAGACCATTACTACTCATCCCAGGCTCCTTCCACGGCACCAGGCAGGCAGCCGAGCTGGATCATCTTCCATCAGCAGTTTCAAGACACTGGGAGCTACAGCTGCTCAACAGAGCATCGGGGCAGGACAAACGCAGAACAGCTAAACTCTGGTCAATGACAAATGCGACTAGAAAGGATCAGAACTGGGTGCCTCGGTGGAGGGTTCGGTTTTCAGGGTTGCTGCACTGGGATCATTATTATTAATTAAAGCCGGAACTCAGACCATTCATCAGCCACCTTACCTAGTTCCGGGGGCAGAACAGTCAGACGGTTCCCCTGAATGTGGAGCTCCTTAAGCTGAGTAAGCTCCCCGATTTCCTTAGGCAGCGAGATCAGGTCATTATCCCTAAGGCTGAGCTAAACAGAAGAGAAACAAGCGGTTGTCAAGACAATTTTCACGTGAAGAGGCGCTCGACAGAAACTCTCTCCTCGCCCCTGCCCGCTCTTCTTCGAAGGCTCAGTCCTTTCAATTTATTTACAAGTGTCTGCAGACATGCAAGAAAACGGTCTCAGGAGATAGTGGTTTTATTCCAAAATAAACCGCACTCTGGCTCAAATTGCCTTGATTCCACCCCTACAAGGGCTGCAGGAGCGAAGTGATTTTCTAAGAATTTAGATAAATTACTTACTATCTGCAACTTTGTGAGTTTCCCAATATCAGGCGGCAGGATTTCAAAATCGTTGTCACTTAGATAGAGTGCGCGCAGGGTGGCTGCAAGTTAAACAGCGATATATAAACAGGGTGGCACGGAACCCGACCGTTTGAGGTCTGATCGATACAAGGGAGTCAGCTTTGATTAATAACCCTGGCGTGGTGAAAAGCCTGTGACACACCTAGGGCTCGGGATAATAACAAGCAGGTCAAACTTAGATTTACGGCCTTATTGTGCAGCTGGTGCGTTCAGGAAAACATCTATATCCAGGAGGACTGAGGAAATTAACGATGTATGGGCACCAGCGGTTTCTGGCACAGGGTTTCAATACGCTTTTGGAAAAGGTAACTTTTTCTTCGATTACTTCCGATTCACGTGTATGCCTCGATCTGCATCCACAGTGAAACCACTGTGTCGCTTCTATCAATGCTTGGGGCCAGAGGGCTCGTGCGTGTGAACAGAGCTAGGTCAAAACATAAATAAATGACCAAAAGGCTGTCTGGTGATGGAGGCCAAAACCACCGTACACTGTTTCTATCATCAGACTAATTATTACTACTTGTTTCTATAGCCTTAACCACAAAAATAAATGAAGACAAAGGTGTTAAAATAATGAAGTGGAGGGCTTCCCTGGTGGCACAGTGGTTGAGAGTCCGCCTGCCGATGCAGGGGACACGGGTTCGTGCCCCAGTCCGGGAGGATCCCACATGCCACGGAGCGGCTGGGCCCATGAGCCATGGCCGCTGAGCCTGCGCGTCCGGAGCCTGTGCTCCGCAACGGGAGAGGCCACGGCAGTGAGAGGCCCGCGTACCGCAAAAACAAAAACAAAAAAAATAATGAAGTGGAGTAGGCATCATATCGGTAATCAGAAATTTGTTCACGATATTATACACTGATACCAGTCCCCAAACTACTGAAGGCAAAAATCCTAAGGCACGTTTTTATCCTTAACCAAAAGGGAAAAGTACAATCAGATGTATATTGAATTTGTTTACGGGTATTCAATTACATTCTAATGTCTTAAAATTCGACAGAACTGTATGTTAATATACATAAGAAAAACAATTTCTTCCATGGCCCAAGAAAACGTGTTAAAGTTGGTTTCACGTGCTTGACAAAGTCTGGGATAAAGGATATACATAAGGTAAAAAATGACACATTAAAGACTAACTCAGCAAAGTCAGAATTTCTGGAGGCCAGCTTGTCACTATTTGGAGAGGCAGAACATTTACCTAAAGACAGCAACTCTTTCCTAAAGAGTTCACGAGTCCTCGGGAAAACCAGTTTTTCCTATTTTTCACAAGCATCTGCAGCAAGAAATGTGTTTGCGTATAAAAGGATAAAGTGTGTTCATGTGTGACTAACAATTTCTTAATGTCTGATGGTATGCTATAGACAAAATAGACTACGTCAATAAAAACACTTTTTAAAAGGCTTAAACAAGAATCCTGGCTAGAAATGTTTAAGATTCTGTTAGTGGTTTATTAATAGATATTTTTATAAATAACTGATTGGAATATCTTTGGGCAAAAAGCCTACAAAGAGTTAACAGCAATACAGGAAGAAGACACACATTACGTCTTTTGCATGCTCTTTAAAAAGAAAGTCAAGTTCTCTTAGCTAAATGTGAGACTTGAGCTCATTTAGGTAAAAATCTCTCTCAGAAAGTTAATATGACATTACCAAGTCCACTTGAGTGCAATGGTGTCGGGTCACGATATATCAAGTATACATACTGCTGAGCTATGAGGGAATATTCAAAGGAATCTGAAGGGGAAAAAAATGTATCTGTCCAATAATTTCTCTTGGAGTTTGGGCCCTGGCAAATAAATTTCCCATTTAGAACGCAAAGGACCATTTTAAGGAGATTTATAGAATTAAAAGTTTCTTACTCAGGTAGAAGAAGTTTCCGGGGAGAGAATTTTCATTCAAGTTGTTGTAAGTCAAATCAAGGACCTCCAGAGCTGGGAGCGATCCAAATCCTCGAGGCAGAGTGTTGAGTCTATTCATGCTGTTGTCAGGGGGGAAAATGCAAGACGTCACACACAAAACGTGTATTTATACAGACTACTCCAATCACCTCTGTGTCACGGGCCTAAGAGCCGCACGTGAGAGGCTCAAAGCTCAGAAGACTGCCATAATTCCATCCACTTTACGTTATTTTAACCAGCCTAGTAATTCTAGTCAGAGAATCCACACGTTCAGGAAACATGTGAAAATGTCTTAGTTGTCACTTTCTCCAAAGGTGATGCTCAATCATAGTTTTACACAGAAAATTAGAACATCACAACATATCCATCCTTCTAGAGGAAAACTTCCTTATGAATGAAGCAATAATAAGACCTCAAAAGGTGCATATGATTAGTTCTAGTAGTTTCGTGGTGGCATCTTTAGGATTCTCTATGTATAGTATCATGTCATCTGCAAACAGTGACAGTTTTACTTCTTCTTTTCCAATTTGTATTCCTTTTATTTCTTTTTCTTCTCTGATTACCATAGCTAGGACTTCCAAAACTATGTTGAATAATAGTGGTGAGGGTGGACATCCTTGTCTTATTCCTGATCTTAGTGGAAATGCTTTCAGTTCTTCATGATTGAGAACGATGTTGGCTGTGGGCTTGTCATATGTGGCCTTTATTATGTTGAGGTAGGCTCCCTCTATGCCCACTTTCTGGAGGGTTTTTATCATAAATTGGTGTTGAATTTTTTCAAAAGCTTTTTCTGCATCTATTGAGATGATCATAAGGTCTGTATTCCTTAATTTGTTAATATGGTGTATCACATTGATTTGCATATACTGAAGAATCCTTGCATCCCTGGGATAAATCCTACCTGATCATTGTGTATGATCCTTTTCATGTGCTATTGGATTCTATCTGCTAGTATTTTGTTCAGGAGTTTTACATCTATGTTCATCAGTGATACTGGTGGATAAAGAGGATGTGGCACATGTATACAGTGGAACATTACTCAGCCAAAAGAAGAAATGAAACTGAGTTATTTGTAGTGAGGTGGATGGACCTAGAGTCTGTCATACAGAGTGAGGTAAGTCAGAAAGAGAAAAACAAATACCGTATGCTAACACATACATATGGAATCTAAAAAAAAAATGTTACTGATGAACCTAGTTGCAGGGCAGGAATAAAGAGGTAGACATAGGAAATGGACTTGAGGACATGGGGTGGGAGGGCGAAGCTGGGGCGAAGTGAGAGTAGCATCGACATATATACACTACCGAATGTAAAACAGTCGGCTGGTGGGAAGCAGCCGCATAGCACAGGGAGATCAGTTTGGTGCTTTGTGTCGACCTACAGGGGTGGGACAGGGAGGGTGGGAGGGAGGCTCAAGAGGGAGGGGATATGGGGACATGAGTATGCATATGGCTGATTCGCTTTGCTGTGCAACAGAAACTAACACAGTATTGTGAAGCAATTATACTCCAATAAAGATCTATTTAAAAAAAAAAAAAAAAGGGCTTCCCTGGTGGCACAGTGGTTAAGAATCCGCCTGCCAATGCACAGGACACGAGTTCGAGCCCTGGTCCGGGAAGATCCCACATGCCAGGGAGTAACTAAGCCTGTGCGCCCCAACTACTGAGCCTGTGCTCTGGAGTCCGCGAGCCACAACTACTGAAGCCCATGTGCCACAACTACTGAAGCCAGCGCGCCTAGAGCCTGTGCTCCGCAACAAGAGAAGCCACCGCACCGCAACGAAGAGCAGCCCCCACTCGCCACAACTAGAGAAAGCCCATGTGCAGCAACGGAGACCCAATGCAGCCAAAAATAAATAAATTTATATACATATAAAAAAGATACATGTGAAGCCTCATAGTTTTCACACTTCTGCTTCATTTGCTTTCATGTATTCCTCTCAATGGGAGACACACCCCCCCGCAAAAAATCACTTTTTTTTTGTTTGTTTTGCAACTACTAATAGTAGTTCAAAATCATCTCTAATTAGAATCAAGGTTGCCAGGGACTGGGGGAGGGGGGTGGGGAGCTGTTTAATGGGTACAGAGCTTCAGTTTGGCAAGATGAGAAACTTCCAGAGATTGGCTGCACAGCAATGTGAATATATTTAATGCTTCTGAATCATACACTTAAAATAGTTAAAATGGTGTATTTTATGTTATGTGCATTTTATCACAATGGAAAGTTTTTAAATATATGTATACACTCCAATGAAAGCTAAGGAAAGCTAAGGAAAATATTTTCCTATTATGTTGTATTTTCTTCAAGACTCTTATTTTTCTTAATGTGGTTCTCTTTGAACACACTGAAAACCCAATTTTAAAAAAACCTTTTTTTAAATCTAATAAGGCTGACAAATATTGAAAGGTGGGAGGGACTGTGACATAAAAATAATTCTAGACACCAGTGCTTCTCACATGAGGTACAACCCTGTTCACACCCACCAACCAGGCCTCCGAAGAAATAGCTGATAGCGGAGAAAGAAACCTACAAAAAAGCGATGTCCACCTCTTGATGGGTATAAAACCTTAGGTTAGCTTTACAGTTAGCAAAATAACCTCCACTACAGTTTACTGTACTGCTAACCACTAATATTTTCTATGAATTCACAATTTGTGAAGCACACTTATGTCAAGTGCTTCACCTGGGTCTTCAGAACTATCGTGGAATGTCGGCAGGACAGTACTTATAATGATCTTGGAATTCTGCGATTAAGTCACAGGTTAAGACAGGTTAAGTACCAAGGAGCCCTGACTCTACCGATGAGAATGACAGGTATCTGAGAGCACCCAGCACTCGTGGAGGCCAAGGCACCCCTAATCCCTGGACCCCGATGTGAGGATGCTGAGTAAACGGAAGGAGAAGAATCAGAGACAGTGAGAAAGGCACAGAAGTACACATCGGGCGCTTCGTTCTTTAAACCTTGCTCTAAGTTACCCACTTTTGAAAACGACCAATAAAGTTTTTCTTTCCAAACACAGAAATACACTTCTGAAACATAAGGTGCAGGAAATCCACGCTTAGACTTTCTTAGCGGGAAGAGGCATCTCACCAAAAAGAGAGAGCTCTTGTCCAATCTCCAGCCTAGAGCGAGCCTGAGCCTGTCCCCCTCTCTGGGTGGCAAGAATCGACTAAACAGCAGGTTCTCTTTCTCCTTGAGCGAGAAACCAATCCCCCCAACCTGTCAGGAACTCAGAAGAGCCCCCGTGCAGTCGGCAGCAGTGACAGCAGTGGGCCCGCTAACCCGGAGGGCAGAAAGGAAGCCCTAACTTAAATGCCTCAGAAGGCCTGGAAGCAGAGTCGGTTCCACTGCCAGCAATGCCAGGAGCGCAGGACCTGTTCCTCTGGACACCAGCGCACACACAGCGACCGGACAGCGGGGTCCCTGGCACTGTCAAGGGAGGCACTGTCATGCACTGCCTACCCCGAAGGGGGCGCTCACGTCCATCTCCAGGTACACATGGGAGCTGCCTTTTTTTTTTCAATTTTTATTGGAGTCTAGTTGATTTATAATGTTGTGTCAGCTTCTGCTATACAGCAAAGTGCATCGGTTATGCATCTACATATGTCCCCTCTTTTTTAGATCCTTTTCCCATATCGGTCACTACAGAGTATTGAGTAGAGTTCCCTGTGCTCTACAGTAAGTAGGTCCTTATTAGTTATCGATTTTATATAGAGTAGTGTGTCTATGTCCATCCCAGTCTCCCAAATGTATCGCTCCCCCTGGGAGCTGCCTCTTTTCAGGGCATCCCTCTGAGAGCTCCAGCACTCAAGGTTGCCCTGAGAGGTGACAGCAAGGGGAGGGGAAAAACACAGCTGGGATGGAGGTCCAGCTCCAGCTCTTGCGGGCTGGGTGGCCTTGGGGAACTTATTCGTCTTCTCTGAGACCCAATTTGCTCAACTCTAAGAGGAGGGTAGCGATACCCTCCCAGCAGGACTTCCAGGAGAGGAGAGAGAAGACATGGGAAGCCCCTGATGCAATTCCTGGCTCCCAAGTAGGTTCTCAAGAAACGATGGCTATAACTACAACTAGTTCTCAGGAAGTTTGAGAGAAATTTTGATCCCGCCTCCAAGAGGCGAGCTCACCTGAGGAGACCGTGGAGCGCCTGAACCATCAAGGATGGTTTCCCCATCTGCTTAATTTCCAATCGATTCAGGTGTTAAAGATAAAGCTGCTTAGGACTCAACCACGCCCAATGGTTTAAGTTCTCCTGTTCGCAGGTGAGCATCTTCCAAATGCTTATGGAAATGGGAAGACACCCACGTACAGTGGAGAACTTTATAAAACCGGAGAGTCAGAGGCTGTTTGGCATCCTTTCTCTTTCCTCCTCAAAAGCTACAGGAAGACCTATACGAGCACTCCCCTTTTGGAACACTCTGATCTCCAGAGGTCCTCTGGGGCTTCTCCTGATTCAATAAAACCTTCTTGCCTGAAAGGCAAGTATTTTTCTCTCCTCCACAGATGACGTGCTCACATACTTAGCCAAAGAAACAAACAAACAGAAAAAACAAACGCACGAACACTGAACACTGTGCTTAGTGAAAACTTTTACGTCTTCACGAGATAAGCTTCACCATCTCACTAGGTCAAAAGTTATTCCAGAATAGCTGGCACGATGCTCCTGCCGTGAGGTCATCCCCGAAATGATGATCAACTTGGACCCTATGCAGCTTTACACTGTTTGTCAAATAACTCAGCACAATGAATGACACTGAAAGAATGAAGAGCATAATTCAACTTTCCGCTCTTTATTCAGATGGCCTAAAAATCCTTTCCAGTTTTTTGCGGTATGCGGGCCTCTCACTGTTGTGGCCTCTCCCGTTGCGGAGCACAGGCTCCGGATGCGCAGGCTCAGCGGCCATGGCTCACAGGTCCAGCCACTCCGCGGCATGTGGGATCCTCCTGGACCGGGGCACGAACCCGTGTCCTCTGCATCGGCAGGCGGACTCTCAACCACTGCGCCACCAGGGAAGCCCCCCTTTCCAGTTTCGAGATCATGAGAATAAATAGCAAATAGGATATAAAACTTTAAAATCAACTTCTGGTTGAACGCACAGTTTGGATCATGCCTATACGTGGCCTAACTGCTCTGCTGTAGTAGGGCCACCTGTGTGTAGGTTTTTTTTATTATTATTCTGGTTGTTTATTCTAAGGAGTCCTCTGTGCCTTGCCTTAACCAGGGGTATGTAGGTATAATTGTTCATGCCATTCGAGGACAGAAGTATCATTTGTGGAAACTCATCTTAATTCCTTTCCCAGAGAACTAAGAGTTGCGTTCAAACTCTGACAACCCCATCTGCGTAGCTACGTACTTAAACACAGAAAGTGCTACACAATCAGCAAATCACCAGGAGCCAAAAATGCAAACAGCTCCATAGACGACAAGGAGGCAACTCAGATGTGATTGATACAAAAGGGAAAGTTCGGGCTTCCCTGGTGGCGCAGTGGTTGAGGGTCCGCCTGCGGATGCAGGGGACGCGGGTTCGTGCCCCGGTCTGGGAAGATCCCACATGCCGTGGAGCGTCTAGGCCCGTGAGCCATGGCCGCTGAGCCTGCGCGTCCAGAGCCTGTGCTCCGCAACGGGAGAGGCCACAACAGTGAGAGGCTCGCATACCGCAAAAAAAAAAGGAAAGTTTACAACTCTGTCCTGAGGCGTCCTGAACCCAGCCAATCAAAACCTGTGCTCATTATCTCCCCCTCAAAGCTGTCTCCATCCATCCCTCTATATCAGCTATCCCATCCCATCCCATCCCATCCGTACAGCCTCATCGATTTTACCACTGCTATCTATTTTTCATATAAAATCCCTCCCCCGCCTTCACTGTCCCTGCCCTAGTTCACCAGGAACGCTAACCTGGCAGCCTCACAGGTCTCCTCTAACCTCTCCTCCGCGTGATCTTCATACGAAAATCATCTCACCTCGTCTCACGCCCGCCGCTTCCCTGTGCACACTCCCCAACGGCAGGGCGAGACCAGAACTCCTTCATCTGACACACACGCCCTCCACTAGCACTCAACTCCCTGCCACTACAGACATTTATTTCTCTACAGGCTGTTTCCCCAACTGTGACATACGCTCCCTGAGGGCTGGACAGCCAGCACCTGAACGGCTCCTGGCACAGAGCAGAGAGCTCAAGACGCGCTCATGGAACACACAGCAGACCCGTGTGCTTCTCTGCCTGGCCTCACCTCCCACCTCACCTCCCCCCGCCTCACCCTTCACACTCAGCGACCCCACGCAACTCGCAGCTCCTGGAGCGGAAGTCCTGCTTGCAGTCGGAGACATCGTCCCCTCCTTGTGAGTCTTCTCAGCCTTGAGTCTCGGCTCCAACACGACCCCCTGCAAGAACCCTTCCGAGAATCTCACCTGAAGGCTAACGTGCCCCCTGTCGCTCTCTCCGACTGCCACACTCAGCGAGCCAGCTGCACCCCGGCCCTGCTCATCGACAGCCACTCTGCCTCCATCCTGAAGGCCAGGGACTGTGACTTTCACCGCCGATCCCCAAACAAACAAGGCTCCTGATGCAGAAAAGGCAATGACAGGGCTTCCCTGGTGGCACGGTGGTTAAGAACCCGCCTGCCAGTGCAGGGGACACAGGTTCGAGCCCTGGTCCGGGAAGATCTCACGTGCCAGGGAGCAACTACGCCCGTGCACCACAACTGCTGAAGCCCACGCACCGCAACTACTGAAGCCTGTGCACCGCAACTACTGAAGCCTGTGCACCGCAGCTACCAAAGCCCACGTGCCTAGAGCCCGTGCTCTGCCAATGAGAAGCCCACGCGCAGCAACGAAGACCCAACGCAGCCAGAAATAAATTTTAAAAAAAAAAAGGCAATTACATAGTCCTGAGATAAATGAACCCATAAATAAAACAATGATGATGATAAAAGTGAACATTCAGGTGCGGCTTACTATGTGCCAGGTACTATTCCTAGCATTTTTTTTTTTTTTAGTGAAAGAAGGTTTTATTCAGGGAGATACACACTCCACAGACAGAGTGTGGGTCATCTCAGAAGGCAAGAGACGCCAGGGTACGGGGTTGTCAGTTTTTTTAGGGGTGGGTAATTTCAGAGGCTAATGAGTGGGAGAGTATCCCACCTATTTGGGGGAAGGGGCGGGGATTTCCAGGAATTGGGCCCCCGCCCACTTTTCGGCCTTTTATGGTCCGCCTCAGAACTATCATGATGCCTGCAGGTGTGTCATTAGCTGATGTGTTACAATGATGTTTACGGAGGCTCAAGGTCTAGTGGAAGTCGACTCTCCGCCATTTTGGACCTTACCTATAACTATTAACTCACTTAGTAAATGATAAGGAGATTAACAGTAAGAACACGTGTCTAGTACATACATCTTGTCTTAGCTTCTTTCTTATATGCAAATGAGATATTAGGACTTCATAATTTTCAAATCAGAGATGTAAACGGAGGGTCCTTTCTTTTCTGCTCTGCCAGATGGGTATACAGTCTCTCTATTTGTAGGAGGAAGAAGCTATCTGATATCCAGCTCTAAACCCTACTTCCCCTCAGACCTTGGGAGAAAAGAATGCTCACGGAGCTTACAAAGGGCGTCTCTCAACCAGAGTGAACCGCAAATTAAGGGTGTCTAACCAGACCCCTGGTGGAAAAACATAAACTAAAAATCAGTCCATGAATGATTTTTTTTTCATGACTGCTTCCTCGTAAACTGATAAATACCTGGCCCGCGTCTACAGCCACGCCATGTAAATCACGAATGGAATCACAGCACTTCGTGGCCATAATTTAATGAATATATTATTCTACACGGAGGATGAGGCAAGAGTGGGCAGTTTCCTTGAACAGCGACAACCATGAAGCTGAAATCCAGTAGGTCCGAGTTCTGGGTACCATCTAGGTGTCTGACGGACAAGGCATGGCCCTCCCAACAATGGGGTTCTCTGCCGAGCTCAGCCAGTAACCTCAGGGGCAATCAGCAGTAAGTCACTTAACCTCTTGGAAAGGGCTTGGCTTCCTTCCACAAAATGAAGGCGGTAATGCCTGCCCTTCCTCCTTCCCAATTGTTAAGAGGGTCAAATACCAGTATGAGGACTCTGAAAACTGTAAAGCCTTATAAGAACACAAGGTATTATTATTATTCACTGCACCCTGATTCTGCAACCTCAGCTGAATCAAAACTCCTCTCTTCACCTTTGTATAAAGAGAAACACAAGATTATAACATCTCAACTGTAAAAAAGAAAAACTGTAAGAATCAATGAAGCAGTGTTGGGAAATGTATCCTCCCGTCCGTAGATAAGGAAGGTGCTTTGGACACTATTTCTACACTACACAGAGAGAAAAAAATAAAGCATATTACAATTGGTCTGCACAGTTCCTGCTAGCTATGCAAATAGGTCCCTTCCCGGTCAACATAACGGAAATAAAATTTTGTTGGAAACAAAATACAGTAAAAAAAAAAAAAAAGACTCCCTTATTGCAACAATTAGCTTCTCAATTAGTGCGCGGATATGCGCTAATGTAGGCCACTGGAAGGATGTATTAAAACAATAAAACATTTTTAAAAACCTGAAGTACAGAAAGAAATTAGAAATCAGCTTCTCCCATGTAATCCTATAAATGGCAAACCCCGCCCTCGCCCTTGGCCACACCCCTTTTTAAGCCCCTCCTCTTCTCAGTTTCCCTTCCCCTTCAGGAGACTCACCCCAGGTTCAGGTGTTTGAGTTTCTGAAGGCTGCTGATCTGCGTGGGCAGCTCCTCAATCTGGTTATTAAAAAAGTTAAGCACTTCCAAATTCTTCAGTTCTGCTATGTTTGGCGGCACAGCTACGGAGACAGAAACGCCGGGTGTGAATGCAGGAACATTTGTTTTCCTTTCAAATGAGAGAAAGATGAAACTCCAGCATGACCATCTTGTTCACGTATATACATCTTACTTAATTTCTGTAGGTGTTTCTTAGGTAGTAGCTCACCACCCGGTAGACATAGAAATGTTTCTTTAAAGGGCAGAAGAGAATTTCTGTGCCATAAACAGTCTATAAGTGAACATTACAGAGCATTATATACTTCTATTTTTTTAATTTAATGTTTTTTCCTTCCAGTTTTATTGAGATACAACTGACATACCGCCCTGTATAAGTTTCAGGTGGACAGCATAATGATTCAACTTACACACATGATCATCGCAATAAGGTTAGTGAACATCTATCATCTCACAAAGGTACAAAAGAAAAGAAAAAGGAAAAAAATGTTTTTCCTTGTGATGAGAACTCTTAAGATTTACTCTCTTAGATGTAAAATTATCCTTTTATTGTTGTCATGTAATGACTACTAATCGTCTTCTTCCTTTCGGTTTCCTCACATCTCCACCAAATGAGAGTCAGCAAACTCCAAATCCCTTCCCGAGTAATGTAGCACTGGCTGTTTCAATAATCTGTTATCTGAAGAGCTGTTCTCTTAACACTGGACTCAACCACAATGAGTTTTAAACTCAACCGTGAATGATGAAAACAGTCCACCTACTTAGTTTCTGATTTTGGCCTCTGGCCTTCGCATGTTGATCAATACACACACACACCCTTCTATCAGGTTGGCAACATATCACGGCACTGTCATACAGCCGTGTGAAAAATGAACTCAGTAGCACGATATGAATATGAGTCTGCAGGTCAAGAGTGGTTTACTTTATAAACCATGGGGGAGCTGAAAGGTTCTTCCCTCCCTAGAGTATACACCTGCCAATACAAATGTAAAAGCCAAAGGCATCTTTACCTCAAAAGTACTCTCAGCGGAAAGCCTTGCGACAGACTGTACTTCATCTACCCCATTTGCTGCTTCAGTCTTTCTACAAACACTGGTTACGGGCCACCAGCTCATCCACGGTTCATGTAAACTCTTAATACCAAGACTATTCAGGTAACTGAAACCATGGACAAAGGCCTTGGGTACAAGAGAAGAAAGTGTTATGTCTTATGTCAGTACATCTTCTTCCCATCCCAACACCCCCCTCCAGGGGTGCCCCAGAAGACTGGGGAAGCCTGGGGGCACTTTGCTTAGAACCACGACAAAGGTGTGCGTAACATTTCCAGACAGACACCTGAGATACTTAAGGCGTCGTGGATGTGGGTGAGCCCTGTCTGTACGATACGGCTGCAAAAGCGTATGTCCTTAGCTGTGTCATCAATAACACACTTTTGCGGGAATGAATGGTATTCACTTTGTGCAAACGACCGCGAACAAGTCCATCAGGCTGTACCTCCTAGGTTTCTAGGTGTTCGTTTACCTGTTCTCTCTACCTGGACCCTGAAGTGTGTAAAGTGCAAATATACAGATGGTTACAGCCCTGCTCAGAAACTTCACCCTTTCCCCGTTCACCCTCCAGCTACCATTAAGCTTCTCTCCCCGTGCATTCATCTAATTAGTCTGAAGAGCAATAAAGAAAGTTAGTGCGACCAGGAGAAAATGATGGTCTCAATTTAACCACAAACCAAGAATAATGCAGCCAGAATTACTGCCACCTTCCTGAAGTTACTTTGCCGATGCAATTAAATGCTGGTCCGAAGGTATCGCCTTTTTTGACAGGATGAGAGATTATTTCACTCTCCTTGCTAAATCAGTCCAATTTAAAACCACAAATTATGCTAAATGCGATTTAGGGCTTTGTTTTGTGGACACAAACAATAACCCCACATTCGATTTACTCAACCTCTCCCAGATTTCTGGTGCGCATGTGAATTTTTTGCTAAGACTCCATTCAAATGAGAAGGGGAAAAACTTACACAGCTACGTCTTCCTAAACTACAGAAACCAGCCCCCTCCCCTGCCATGGTTAAATCCAAAAGAAATTGACCTTCAGACCTACCTGGATGGGATAACCTTTGCTCTTTCAACAAACATTCAGAGAAGGCTATTCTGTGCACAGAAGCATAAACTTTTAGCGCCTAGCGTTTCAATACTTTTGGGATAAAGTAACAGAGGTATGTTATTTAAAGAAAGTAAGTTACAAAAGAAGGGGTATCAGAGTCATCAATGGAGACAGGTCTAATGCTTGGAAAGCAAACCAATCCCAACAAAACTGTCCACAAAAAAATAACCAGTTAACAATATGAGTAACAGCTGTGCAGTAACTAAACCATATACACAGATCCACGAACACTTTACGAGAAGCTATTATAAAAAGGGAGCAGCAACGTGTCACCAGTCAGAATATCCTGGTGGAATTTTCAAAACTGCTACATGACATGCTAGCAAGAAGCAGCATTTTAAAATATAACCAAGCAGGGACTTCCCTGTTGGCGCAATGGTTAAGAATCCGCCTGCCAGTGCAGGGGACACGGGTTCGAGCCCTGGTTCAGGAAGATCCCACATGCCACGGAGCAACTAAGCCCGTGTGCCACAATTACTGAGCCTGCGCTCTAGAGCCCGTGAGCCACAACTACTGAAGCCTGTGCACCTAGAGCCTGTGCTCCGCAACAAGAGAAGTCACCGCCATGAGAAGCCCGTGCACCGCAATGAAGAGTAGCCCCCGCCTGCCGCAACTAGAGAAAGCCAGTGTAACAACGAAGACCCAACGCAGCCAAAAATAAAAAATAAATAAAAATAAATACAATATATCTAAGCAGTGAGCATCAATATATTTCTTATCATGCATCTGAAATGTTCCTTTTCCATCCATCTGTCCAGCTTCTGACCATGACCCCCCAGCAGTACACACGCAGCCTACAGACAACAAGGAGCTGAGTCCACAAAAGAAACAGAGGGGCCGTGTAATGGAAGAACCCAGGAGGCCTGGCCTGCTCATCCCGGGCTGGCTCTGTACTCCCCGATCAGCCCTGAACTTGCTGTGTGTCCTTAACTCAACTCACAACCTCTCTGGGCATCCGTTTCCTCCAGTAAAAAAAAAAGAAGACTGGATGATGACCATGTCTACATTCCCTTCCACCTGGCTGTAGCATTCTAGGATTCTAAGAAGAGCTGGATTGTGAAAATCAATGATATGGGTTTAAATAATGCAACAAACGGGGCCCTCAGTTAGGAAGCTCCGCCATGCAGAACTTTGCTTATGACAGACAATTCAGTATCATTTTCTGTCTAACCAATGATGGCTGCTTCAATTTTGAGAATTCAGTTGCTAGAGGAGGTTGCAAAAAGGCCCCTAAGGACTCTCAGGTGTGCCCTGCCTCCTACATGCCACTCTCTGCTTTGGTCAGAGGATCGGTGACCGCTGGGGACGCTCTAGGCCCAGAGCGCCCGCTGTGCTTTGCAAAAGGGGACAAAGATGACGTCACGTCCCCCAGGAACTACATATGGCCAGAGACTGATCTCGGCGTATCTTCTGGCATTTGTAATGATTCAGACTAACAAGCCCAGGAAGATCCTCTCTTCCTTCAAGTCCTTCTCAATCTAACAACCTGAAAATTATTCTAGAGTTTCTTCTAGAGAACCATGTACCGGCCCAGACTCAGCAATCAGCCACTGCACGGTTTCTGAGCGGTTCCACGACAGGAAACCTGAAGTGCCTGGGGGGCTCGGGGATGGCAGGCAAAATGGGGCTCGCCTGATCTCCATGAACATCTCTTTACAAAGCTCCCTGGGGCAGGAGGCACTGGATGGACACAGCAGACAGACCAGAGGTCCAACCCTAAGAACCACTGACCCAGCGTTACTCGTGAACAGCGCGTAACTCCTCCTAAAAGGACATGTATCTGTCCTCTTCGGTTACATGCAGGAGACGTACGGCCACCGGACGCTGCACAGATGAAGCGTATTCACAAAATCAATGTCACCTTCAGGAACATGCTTCCCCCACTAGCTAACAGCAGCCAACCATTTCTCCAACGTAAGAACCTAAATCAACTATTGTTGTAGCAACTGGAGCTTCGCTCTAAGAGCATTTTGTTCTAGAATATACAATTAACCATCGCACAATCAGTAACATATTTTCTTAAAGGCTTTTAGGAGTTAATTCACACAATGATAAACAGCAGAAGATGCTCTGGGGCTGGGTGGGCCAGGATGCAGTCACTAGTTATGTGTGGCTATTTCAACTTAAAGCTAGAGTGGGGGGACCTCCCTGGCGGTCCAGTGGTTAAGACTCCACGCTTCCACTGCAGGGGGCATGGGTCTGATCCCTGGTCAGGGAACTAAGATTCCGCATGCCGAGAGGCTCAGCATGAATGAATGCGTAAATCAATGAATGGATCAATCAATCTAGAATGGGTATGTAAGTTGGCGTAGCCTCTAGGGAAAAAGAGGATGGAGGTTCCTCAAAAAATTAAAGATACAACTATCATATGATCCAGCAATTCCACTTCCGGGTATTTAATCCAAGAAAAGAAAATCACTATGTCAATGAGAGTCTGCATCCCATGTTCCCTGCAGCATTATTCCCAACAGCCAAGATACGGAAACAACCTAGTTGTCTGTTGACAGATGAAGAAAATGTGATACATAGACATTCATTCTCTCTCTCTCTCTCCCCCCGCCTCTCTCTCTCTCTCTCTCTCTCTCCCCACACACACACAAACAGAATACTATTTAGCCATAAAAAAGGAAACCCTACCATGTGCAACAGCATGGATGGACCTTGAGGGCACTATGCTAAGTGAAGTAAGTCACACAGGGAGAGACAAATGCTGTATGATCTCACTTACACGTGGAATCTGTAAAAACAAAACAACAACAACAACAAAAACACACCAGAAAACCTCAAAGCAAAAGATTTGTGGTCACCAGCGGTCCTGAGGTGGTGGGGTAGGAGCTGAGGAAACTGGATAAAGGTATTTTTTTTAAAAAAAAAAAGAAGAATAAATAAATTTAAACCTAGA